GAGGGGACCAGAGCTCCCAGCTGTGAGTACAGGGCACCAGGACCTTCCACTGAAACATGGGGCACTGACTCGAGGTGTTAACACTCACACTGCAAATGTTTTTATCATTTTTAAGTGTTTTCATATTTTACTGTAACTTTGTTTTGACTCCAAAGATGGGCTATTTAAATACTTCTTGTGATAATCTTCTGATAGGTAAGGGTCTTGAAGAAGAAGCTCTTTATTTTAATTTGCCTATAGCTGCCAAAAGAAACCTTGCCATCTTCTCATTAGAGAAGTGTCCAGAGTCCGCAATGTCCTGGCAATATTCCTGTTCCTCAGAGAGGGCTGATGGCCTCAAGTCTCCTGTGAAAGGGGCAGGGACCCGAAACACTGCCGTTCTGCCTGGTGGGTACGGGATTGGGAGGTAGGCCCCAGAGAGGCTCTGGAAGGAATTGTGACAATTCCCTGCTCTCCCACCCTCTCTCCCAACCACTGAGTTCTCTCCTGGGCCGGAGACTATCATGCTTCTAGCAAGGGAGTTACAGGGGCAAGAGCTAAGCCCGTCCACAAGTGCTCATCCCAGAGGCGGTCACTAGTGTAGTCTTCTGTGCATCATTCTAGAAAATACCCTAACACAGAGCTTCCCTGTGCCCCCTCTAGAAAATGGGGATAACACCAGTGACGTCATGAAGCTGTCGTGAGGAATAAGGGAGCAAATCTTTGTAATGTAGTAGAAGCTGAGCACACACAGGGTCACACTGTGGACACCCAGGCCGCCACACTCGTCTCCACCTCCTCGCCACCCCAGGACACTGTTCGCTTTACACACAGATGGGCCTCAGTCTTTTTCATGGACTGCAGGACATGCTGGTCCTTGACAAGGGCTCATTGATTTAATTGTCCCCAGGGCAGACAGTCCGGTTGTTTCTTGTCTCCTGTACCCGTGGGTGTTTGCAAAAACAGGGGTGAGCGTCTGTTCCCAGTTCTCTACTATAAACGTAATCCCACCCACACATCACTTGCCTGTAAATCTCAAATAGGTGTTTCTTAATCACCTCCAGAGTAGGCGAGGCCTGCACACTTCCACCTTTGCTCCGAGGGTCCCCTTCCCTGCCCTGGAGGGGTCTGTGGCGTGACCTCCACGTGGTCCCTGCTCACCACCCAGGAGTCAGACAATGCACTTGGGCAGGAAGAAAACAGCTCCCATCCCCGGAGCAGCATAACCGGCCGACCAAGACGGTGGTGCCGACCTTCCCAGATTTTAGGCGTAACAGCTGCCCTTCACCACTTACCTTACCTAAGACGTCCCACGTGTACTCTGGGTGCTCGGCTGCCCCTGTCCTCCCGACGCCGTAGCCCAGGCCTGAACCCGGCGGCGTGCAGAGCCTCCCTGGGCTGGGGGAGAGCGCGGACCCGCATCTCAGCCTGGGAGGAGAGGACACCGAGGCACCACCGCGTGGTCTCTCGGGGCAGCCAGACCGGCAAAGCCCACCCGGCCCTCTGCGGGGCTTCCGTGGAAACCGTAACTGCCCCGGGGAAGGGGAGGAACAAACAAAACACAAAACGGAGCACTGGGAGTCGTGGTGGGCAGTCGGGATCCCGCGCGCAGGCGACCTCCGGGCCCTGCGCCCTGGGTCCCGACCGACCCCACCCCCCACGGACCGCCCAGCCCCGCCCCAGCCCCGCCCCCAGCCCCACCCCCCGCAGGTGCCCTCAACTCCACTTCCGGCCCTGGGAGGAGCCTCCGCGGCCCCCGCAGGTGTGTGCGCCCCTGTCGCCCCCACCCCCAGCCATGCAGCGAAGCCCTTGAGACACCGCAGGAGGACCCCGAGGTGGAGCCGCCCTCCCCGCCAGAGGGACGCGCCCCCCAACCTGGGTCTGGTCGGACACGTGGCTCTTCGGCCCTGGGAGGGGCCAGGCGCCGGCCAAGGGCGGGCGCGGGGAGGTGTCTGCGCCCCGGGACCAGCTCCCGCTCGGGGTGGGGGGACGGATGCGGGCCGCTCCGAGACTGCGGGCGCTCCAGCGACACCTGGGCTCCTCGGAGGTAGGGGGCAGGCCCGGACGCGGGGCTCCTGGCTCGTCAACAGCGGCCGGGGGCTAAGGTCCCGGGTGACCCTGGAGCGGGGGGCGGACAGAGAGCTGGACCCCGGGAGAACGAGCACCCCGGGGCTGGCCACCCACTGCTGGGACCCGCTGGAAGGGGGCCCTCTGTGCGGAGACGCCCTCCATTGCCTGGGTGGAGGGGAGGGGGTCCCAGTAGGAGTTAGTGTGGGGCGGTGAGGGGCTGGCCGGCCTTGTTTATCAACTGTTTTCCAGTGTGTCAGCCGCACAGCCTTCCGCGGTTGACTCAGCAACTCCTGGGCACCGCCCGCCCCCCACCTCCAGGGTCCAGCAGCCGGCTGTTGACTCTAGGCCTGCCATCTCCAGGCCACTGTGGACACAAGGCTGGACCCTAGTGCTTACTCCTGTCCCTCTCTCACGGCACAGGGCAGAGGTATGGAGCCCAGCAGCAGCCCACTGACCACACACGTACTGGACACCACCTCAGGGCTTCCCGCCCAGGGCCTCTGTCTCTGTCTGTCCAGGCTTGAGGACCAGGGCCAGCACTGGACCGACCTGAGGAAAAGGTAGGCTTGAGGTCTGGACAGGACCTGAGTCCAGCCAGGGGACAAGAAGAACGCAGCCAGCCAGTGAGTGTGGGCACTGAGGTCAGATGGTGTTGCTGACCACTGGGCTATGGTCCCCTTGGCCTCACACCCCCAGCGCCTCTCCCTGAGGGCAGGGCTGGCTCAGGCCCAAGGTGTAACCTAAAGGCCTCATTGTCACCGTGGTTAACAGGTAACCTTGTGCCAGGCCACACGCTGGGCCCTTTACTTCTCTTCTTATTCTCACTCCAGCCCGAGGGCAGGCCCTATAACTACCCCTTTTATAGATGGGGAAACTGAGGCAGCAAGAGGCAAGTAAACACTGGCATCCCATGCCTCGCCTGGCAGCCCTGGGCCCCAGCCCCAGGCTCAGGTTCTGCGGGGACGGGCCCAGCCCAGGCACGGCCTGGTCACGCTGGGACTGCCCCTGTGAGCCTCTTGAAGGAGGCAGGCTCCCACTGCTGGTGGGAGTGGGTGGCTGGGCCCCAGAGGGTCAGAGCCTGAGGGCATGCAGCTCATCCCCAGCCCATCACCGACACTGGGCATCGAGGTCCCATCTGAGTGGCCCGCTCAGGTCCTTAAAGAATCCATGGAGTCCCCTGGGGAGTCACAGAGACCCATTCCCAACCCCCAAATAAACTGTGGTACAGGACAGAAACTTGAAATCACAGCTGGTGGGAACGGTGCCAGAGCTCTCCAGAGGTGATGGTCGGGGGGGTGGGAGGGGGCACATAAATCAGTAAGCAGAGCGACAGGCCCTCAGAGCCCTCCACTGGACACTCTGTGCAGTACAAACAGGCCACCATGCGGCTGGGGTGTGGGTGTAGTTACTGGTCCAGAAAAGCCACACACACTGTATTAAATGAAAAGTACAAGTTATCAAACAGTATGTATAATACAATCCATTCTAGGGTATTTTCGCAAGTTTACAAACAAGCATAGTTATGTGTAGAGAAATTCTGGAAAAAATACATGCCAATATAAAGGGATTGTTGCTTATAAAATAGGTTTGGTTTGTTTTTTTACTTTTCTGCTTCTCTGTATTGGAGTTCTATCTAAAAAGACAGTGCAGTGTCCCTGAGCTGCTCCAGAGCCCCGGGCCCCGGACTGTGTCCTGCTCTGGGGGTGTCCGAGGCCACTGGCCATGCAGACCCTAGAGAACGAGGCAGGGGCGACTCCTCCCCAATCCCTCCCTCCATTTTCCCCAGCTACACCAACTCGGATGGCCGCTGCCCGGGGCTCCTGCCACCAGGCCCGATGAAAGCAGGCACCTACAAGCTGTCCTTTGACACCGAGGGCTATTGGAAGGAGAGGGGCCAGGAGAGCTTCTACCCATACGTGGAGGTGAGCGCCCGGCGTGGAGGCCCGTGATCCCCGGCTTCCTGCCAGGGGCAGGCTGCACCCACCCCTCCCACCTCTCCCAGGGTTAGGGTGTGACAGTGAGTTCACCTGCTTTGAGCTCCCAGAAGAAAGGTATCCAGGGCCTTTACCACAACACACCCGTCCCTGCCCTGTCCCCGGGTAAGGCTGTGGGGCACAGGGCCAGAAGTGACTCAGCCCCTGAGGACAGAGGCGCTCAGCTGACACTGTTCACGGTAGATCCTTTGGGTTCCTCGAGCCGATGGCTCTCCCTGAAGAGGATTCAGCCCCATCGCAGCCCTGGCCAGGTTTCCACTCTCCATGAGCTCCAGCTAGCTCCTGGGGCTCCAGCCCGTGGTCCGGGCTACCTGTGTGCTGCATACGGACCCCTCACTCTCTTCCGGTGCCTTCTCTGCTTCTCAGGTGGTTTTCAGCATCACCAACGAGACCCACAGATTCCACGTGCCCCTGCTGCTGAGTCCATGGTCCTACACCACGTATCGGGGAAGCTAGCAGCCGAGCCATCGCCTCTGGCCAGCTGCTGGCCTGTGAGCATCGATGCCATCCCAACAGCTCCCTGAGGCACCCCAAGAGAGGGCAGCAGTTATGCTCCCTGAGGGGAGTCTGACCCGCCCTCTTCAGTAGCAGCTGAGTCTCAGGCTCAATAAAGTCAGCACCAGCATGGCTAAGGCCACGGCAGTTCCTGGGCTCTATGAGTGCTGCCCGGGCCCCGAGGTGGGGAGGAGGGCAGGGTAAGCACAGATGGACGGGCAGCAAGGAAGGGGGTGGTCAGGGTACCATGGGCCCCGGGAGGTGCCTCTCCTTAACACAGAAAGGCAGCGGGACACAGAGCAAATGTAGAAAACCTTCATTGGCAGACGATACAAATCTAAAAAAACCAACAGCCCCTGTCCTTGGTGAAAGAGCAGGTCATCTGGGGAGCAGTCCTGGGCAGGCGCTAAGTTGGGGTGCCCACGAGTCCTGCGGGGCCCTGGCCCAGCGTCTGCCCCATCACAGCTGTCTCCAGAGGCTTGAAGCCCAAGTTGTCCAGAGGGATCCCAAAGGCCAGGAGCTTCGCCTCGTAGGTGCGCAGCAGGTCGTTGTGGGCCTGCAGGGTGAGAGCAGCGTCAGGAGGGGCAGGCTGACACCAAGGCACACTCCAGCCCAGGCCCCCGCGGCTCTGGAGGCCACAGGAGGCTGGCAATGGAAACCCGCACAGCGAGCCTTTACGGCAGCTCACGGTAGGCCACACCTGGTCATGAGCACTTTTATGTACATGAATTCAAGTAACTCACAACAGGAAATGCTGCCGTTGTTCCTATTTCAAAGATGGGGAAACTGAGGCAAAAGACACAGACTCAGCAGAACTGTGCTCCTGAGCACACTCCTGGTTCTTCATCAGGCATTTCCCAATCAAACTGGTCATCCTTGACTTTCCGGACATGACCTTCCACGTGCATGTGCTCAACCTCACAGAGCCTCCCTGCTTTGTCTGACGCGGTCTCCTGCCCCCCATTCCAGGAAGGCTAAGATCTGGGTAGAGAGTGCTGGTGGGGCCAACGTGAAGCCAGGTTCCTATTCCCCTCTCTGGAAAATGGCTACTTTTTGAAGGGTGGATTGCATCGGATGGTCGTGAGGGTTTGAAGAGCTGATGCGTGTGAAATGCTTAGACCCAGGCCCGACTCAGATTAAAACTCAAAAGGGCTCATTATCCTCACCATCATCAAGGGAACAGTGCTGGAGCTTGGAGCTGCGATTGCAAGGGTGAACTACGGCCAAGCTCCAGAGAGAACTTGGGGGCTGGGCCCTGGCTCTCGCCCTTCTCTGGGGGACAGACATTCCCCCAGAACCGCACACAGTAAATGGCCCTAATTTTGTGTGTGTAAATACCACGGTTGCCGCAGCAGCTAAAGGAAGGGCCCAGAGGGGCAGGGCCGAGGAGAGGCCCAGGGAGATCGGGTCACCATGGAGCCCAGCGCCAGTGGCAGGCCCTGCCTCCCTCCTGGGCTTCCACACCCGAGGGTGCACAGAACCAGGAAGCCGGCCGCACCCTGCACATTTACAGGCTTATGTGAGTCACACGTAGGGTGGCTTCTCAGGGGGAGTGTGTCCATGGGCAGCACTGTATCTGCATTCCCCACAGGCAAAGCCCAGACAAGGCTGTGGCCTCCGCCACGGAGGCAGGACCTCCAGGGAGAGGGCCCAGGCCTCTCGGGTTCTCAGGGCCCTCACTGCCCCTCCCCAGTAGGAGGCCTCCATGCTCATGTGTGGGTTTGACGTGGATGGGGTGTGCAGCTTTCATCAGACTTACAAGAAGCGAGAAAAGTTTGGACTCGTAGCTGTCCCCTCCGTGAAGGAAGCCCATCCACTCGCCCCAGGGCCCAGGTCACCAAGAGCAAGGGTCACATGAGAGACAGGGACAGAGTGTGCTGGACAAACTGCCCTCACTTACCAAATATCCACTGAGCAGGCCCCGGAAGGGACACCAGGACAGTGGCTAGAGTTGTGGGGATGCAGCCCAGGCCACACACTGAGTGACCTGAGAAGGCCCAGACAGCCTCAGGCTACGTGTACCTCCAAGGTGTAGACAAGGTGGGGCCCTGAGAGGGGGCAGGGGCTCCTGGTACCTTGCAGACCCGGGCCAGCTCATACTGCAAGTCCTTGATGGTGCTGTTCTTTGATTCTAGGACGTCCTAAGGAGAGAAGGGTAGACCTGAGTTTGAGCCTATCTCTGGGCTGAGGCAGACAAGGGTTGGTGGGGGTCTCGGGGCCCCAGCAGGAGATCTCAGACATGCAGGGAATGGGCGCCAGGGTCCATCAGTGTGGACATCCACACAGGCAGCAGCCAGCCTGTGTGGAAAGGTCTTCGAAAGAGAAAGGGAAAACCGGACCTGGCTCTCTGTAAGGAAACCGTCTAGATGGTGGGAAGTGAAGACAAGAGGCATAGAAGCCAGGCCAATCACGGCCCAGGGAAGGGCCCTTGAACCCCCACCTGCCTCCTGGGAGGGTTCCTCTGGGCAAGCCAGGGAACAGACAAGAAAAGGCCCTAGCCCGTCGTCACAGCTGCAGCGACCACTGTCGAAGGGGTTGATTTGATCCCCTCCATCAGGACTGCTGGCTGCAAAGCCTTGCCCAGCCCCAGGACCAGCTGCCCTTCCCAACAGCAGAGGCAGGAAAGCTCTTCCGTTTCCAAAAGCGCCCTCGCTCTCTGCCTGGCAGTGTTCACAAGTCGAGACAAGGAGTGAGACAGGACCCCGGGCTCCAGTGCCCGGTGCTGCCAGCCCACACTATGCCCCTCCTATGGGGCGGCACCACCCCAGGCCCCAAGACCCTGTTCCAAGTGGCTCCAGCCCCACAGGCCCTGCCGCCCGCCAAGCCGGGACGCGTCGCTGCCTGGAACAGTATCTGGTCTCAGCCGGAAATGGACACCACGTCTCCGCAGCCTGACCAGCTGTCCTCCATCAGTGACAATGTCATCAGCGACATGTCCGGGACGGACAAGTCCTTCATCCCACCTGCTTTCCCAAGGGGCTCCGTCTGATGCAGCCCACCACACCCAGAACCTTCCATGACTCTTTACCAGCCTCAAACTCATGCACACCCAACACACTTCGGATCTGCGTCTGTCCAGCTGGCTCTGCCCTCCTCCCCTCAGATTTGCACTCCCCTCAACACCCAAGCAGCAAGGGGCTCACATGTGTACAACAGCACCTGGTGGGAGCTGAGAGCCTCAGGTCAAGGCCAGGTGGGCAGGAAGCCAGCCTGCAGTGTTTGGGCTTTTTTTTTTTTTTTAAAGATCGATTTATTTGAGAGAGAGAGAGAAAGGGAGGTGCAGAGGGCGAGGGAGAGACAGAATCTCAAGCAGACTCCATGTGGAGCCTGACTCAGGGCTCAAACCCACAATCCATGGGATCAGGCCCTGAGTCAAACCAAGAATCAGACAGACACGTGATCAAGTGAGCGAACCAGGCCCCCATAAAGGGCTTTATGGAAAGATTAGGTGACCCAACAGTTAACCCTCTGGGCCTGGGTGTTGAGCGAGCAGACGGCATTACTGCACGTTGACTAACCACCTGACAAACGCTGCTGTGTGCTTCCCAGGATGAAACACACCTGCACAGTGAAGCCTCTGTGATCCCCAGACTCGGGTCTGTTTCTCCACAAAGGAAGAGCAGCCTGGAAGGTGCTGTGTCTGGGACAAGCTGGCCGCCCCTCCCTGGGCCTCTCCATGGGAGACGTGCAGACCCGCAGGGACACTGCACCTGGGGCTGCCTCAGGCCTGAGGGCTGCGGGTCACCCAGGTGGCCAGGATCCCAGCACAACCACACTTCCCGGCAGCAAGAGACCCCCTTTCTGGCCTCGCCTGTTCTTTCTGTGACACATCCTAGTGAGGCCCAGGCTTCATCTGTCTTGTTGAATGCTCCCCCCGTGCCCCCCTGTGCCCAAGAGAGCCCACACAGAGGGGACCACCACAAAGAACCGCGAACTCACGACCAAACACTCTAGGCTTTGCTCAGACCTTAACTCCCTCTGGGAAGCCTGCCCCAGCCCCCACCACGTAGCCCTGTATGTCCCCGTCCCAACTGCCCACAGCCCACATCAAGCATGCCATCTTTGCGTCCAGGGCAAACTGCGGCGGTGGCCTCGGCTAAGAGCTCATAGGTTCGGCTGTGCCCCGGCCTGTCTCTAGGCTTGTCACCGGACGCCTGAGAAGCACAAGCCCCGAATTTTGAGAGCAGCATGAGGTGCTGGCCAGGCTGAGCTAAACCTATTGTGAGCATGGACGGCCATGGGCCCAGGGCCAGAAGGGGCCAAGAGGTTGAGGAGGAGACTGGGGAAGCATGAAGCAAGAGAGAGCCTGGGGGGCCTGGGGACAGAGGTCTGCAGGCCCTGTCAGTGCCCCAGCCACAGGAAACCCATAGTGGTCCCTCCCCAACGTCCACAGCAGGTCCCCACTGGAGAGACAGAGGCCAGACACACACACGCATCCAACACGCAACCCCAGCCTGAGCCCCGGATGCCAGCTGGGGGACCAGAATGGGATGCTGCAGCCTGGGACCCACCTCCAGTTTGCGGGACACGAGGGTCAGCGCCGCGGGGTCCAGGTTGGAGGCTGCCAGCACCTCATTGAACTGGGCCTCCTTCTTCTCCACAGCAGCACTCAGCGCCTGCATCTTCCGCTCCAGAACCAGGTTCTTGAAGCCCACCTTCTGCTGCACCTCCAGGATGGCCGCTGTGAACTTCCTGTACAGCTCGTCCCGCTCCTGCTGCACCTGAGGGGACAGGCTGCAACAACCAGAGACGCCACCTGCTCTGGGGGAAGCTCGCTGGGGAGAAGCCGCCTCCCGCCTCTGCCCCTCAGCCCTTCCGCAGAGTGAGCCCCTTCCACCTCTGAGTGTTGTCTACACTGCCTGCATGCACACACTCTGTGACGGAACGGAAGCCGTCCACACTGTGGAAGGTGGGAGGAAGCGCTAATTGGACCCGCTGCTACTAAGCTGTTTCAGGAAGCAACAGGGTACCCCGGTGAGGGCTGGCGAGGCCCCACAGCGGGGCTGGGGCCCTGGGTCTGGGCAGAAGGCTCAGGTAAGACACGTCCCTGATCACCCCTACGTGAGATCAAAGGGTGAGGGTTAGCAGTGTTTGGGGGAGAGGGGCTCCTAGGGACCCACCCCCTCAGCAAGCCCCAGATCCCAGATCCCCACAGGTCGGCGTGCCCCACTAACAGCAGATCTAGACAACAGCTCTGGGGTCAACCACCTGTCAAGAAACAAAGGTCTTCTTTTTTACCTTCTAACTCTTACTTTTCACTGTCACTGTAAAAAAGCAAGACTTTGTGGAAGTATAAAAAGTAAACACCCCTCGGGGCGCCTGGGAGGCTCAGTGGGTTCAGCATCTGCCTTCAGCTCAGGTCCTGATCCCAGGGTCCCAGGGTTGAGCCCCGCATTGGGATCCCTGCTCTGTGGAGAGTCTGCTTCTCCCTCTGCCCCACGCCCACGTTCTCTCACTCTGTCTCAAATGAATAACTAAAATTTAAAAAAAAAAAAAGTAAACACCCTTTAACCCAACTTCCCAGAGGCCACCACGTGAACATACAGCGTAACCCCTTCCAGAACGTTCCCGACAGGTGTAAAAGCCTGTCTTACAGCTAGAGAGAGAATTCTCTGCTCAAAGCCACAATACCGCATCCTTCTCTCGACTGTACAGCTTTCCCCAGACAGGCTTCAATCCAGTCCCTATCCCTTTGGTCTACAGAACGTGGACACATCAGCACCCGTGGTTTTCTCAGGGAACACTGACTTCAGCCCGCGCCTCGAATGACATCCCAATAGAAGAGGAGGGGGCGGAGTACCCAGCTCCAGCACGGCCTCTGCACAGTCTGCATGTCCTCCCCTGACACACACCCCCTTCACCGGCAAGGCGACCCGAGGGCCCTTCTCTTAGCCGGCCGGCAGCCAACAGGACCCTCCGAGGCCTCTCTGTAGGTGGCTGCACGTGTGACGGGCCGAGGAATGTGGCCCTTCTGTAATCACAGTCTGTGACCGTGAAGTTCCATTAGGTGAGAAAGGATGGACATGCTCACGAGGACGGAGCTGGTCTGCCCGCGTCTCTGCCACTCACCAGGTTCTCGGAAAAGCACACTCAGGGACACATTCTCAACCCGATCCCACGGGTAGTTCTGAATTAGTGAGAGCGGCACAGGCAGGACAGGGCCCCTTGGGCACTTCGGGCAAGATCACACTCAGAACAGCCCTCTGGGCAGACTCTATCCAAATTCCCAATGCCAACCTGGCCCAGCAACCCCATAGCTAGGGACTGACTTCCCAGGAGATGCTCACAGTTACACAGAGAGAAATTTAAGGGGTGCCTGGAGGTTTCAGATAGTTCAGCATCTGCCTTCAGCTCAGGTCATGATCCCAGAGACCTGGGATTGAGCCCCGCATCGGGCTCCCTGCTCCGCGGGCAGCCTGCTTCCCCTTCTGCCTCTGCCCTTCCCCCGCTGGTGCTGCTCACACTCTCTCTCCCTCAAATAAATAAACAAAATCTTTAAAACAAAGAAAAGATGAAGTTAGAAGGATGACTGTGGCTGCACGTTTACCGCAGCAAAGGATAGAAACAGAGCTCCGTGTGCGGGGAACTGGCTACAGGCACCGTGTCGCCTACAGGCTGGAGCCCAGGGGAGATGACAGAGAAGTGAGCTGTGGGGCAGGCATGAAGCCACAGCTGCCCAGGGCACACAGGGAGACGTCTGTGAGAACCCAGGGAGCGGCCCCCACGGGTGAGGACGCGCTGAGCAGGGGGGCCTTGCGCGCTCGCTCACAGACAGCTTGCCCCGACCTCCTTACCAGGCATGCCTAACACCTCAGGACGGAGACACACGCATGCAGAAGAGAGAGACCGACCCCAGGCACCAGGGGCCAGGTGCCCAGCACAGGTCTCACAGCTGAGCCTGCGGGAAGGAGAACGGGGAGCGAGCGTCTCCCCACAGGGCAGATGCTCTCGGTGAGACCCCAGGGCCATCCACAGAGCGGGCTGCAGCTTTCTGCCTCATCACCCCATCAAGCCTCACAGAACGAGCCGTGGGCACCAGGACTCCAGCCACTCTGGCCGCAGAGCTGGGGTGACAAGAGAGGTCCTCCTGGCTCCCGGCTCCCGGCAGGGCCAGCCTGGCGTCTGCTCACCTTGACAAACCGCTGCTCGAGCACCTCGTGTTCCCACTGTAAGTCCTTCAGCTCCTTCTCCGCGACCTTCAAACGTGCTTTTGTGCGCTGGAGAGAAAACAAGCAGCGGGAGAAGAAAGGACTGAGGATCCGGTACCACAGAACAGACTTCTAGAGGGTGGCAGCCCCAAAATAACCATCAGAAGAGCTGGCTCAGGGGCACCCGGTGACTCAGCGCCCGGGTCCTGAGTTCGAGGGAGGGGACACGAGGGAGCCCACCAGCAGGATCTGCTTGTCCCTCTCGTAGCTGCCCAGCTTCTTCTGCATCTCATTCATGTCGTCGCGAGCCTTCTGGAGGGGGTCTGCCAGGCGCCGGTTCTGCACGGACACCTCCATCATCTCCTTCTCCAAGTGGTCCTCCTTCTTGCGCATGTCTTCCATCTGCTCCTGTCAGCACCAGGACAGGGGTGCGGGGGGTTCAGCAGGCAGAGCTGAGGGAACTGTGGTCTTCAGGGGTGAGGGCCGCGAGCCCTCCCACCCAGGAAGGATGGTCCTCAAGTCCCAGACCGGTTGCATGTAACCACTCAGAGGGATTCTGCACTATGGGAACTTATTTGGAATTTTCTAGGAAGGCGGCCTCCATGCCAGTGATATCGCGTTGCGCTCGGGACCCCAGGGACAGTCCCCACAGTAGGGATGGTCGCTAGCCCCCCCCACTGGGTGACGACACCCAGCCTCTCTGCGCCTCCCACCGCAGCTCTGCACGGGCTTCTGCCCGGCCCGTGCACCATGTTCCAACCACCCGTCTGCGCTGCGTACGACGTCCTGCTTCCAGCCCTAAGTCTGCAGCGGGCCCGTCACCGACGCAGCTCCGGCAAGGACAGCGGGTATCTGTCAACACAGGGGTGTGGGGCCCGCCACCCTCGAGCGGCACCTTGAGGGAGTTGATGAGCGCCAGGTTGTTGAGGGTGATGTCGTTGTAGTAGTTCTTGATGTCCGTAAAGGCTTCCTCATGCCGCCGCATCAGCGTGTTGATCTGGCCGTTCTTCCTCTCCTCCACCTCATGGATCTCGGTCTTTCTCCGCAGGTCAAGCTCGTCCCTAAGCATCTTCATCTTTTTGTCGTACTTGGCCTCAATTTCTGAAAGGCAGAAGCACACGGAGGAACAGGGGGCCTGACAGCTCCAAGCAGAGACGGAACCTACAGACACAGCCCAGGAACACCACCGGGACAAGGGCTATGCGGACAAGCTCACGGCTGACACATTCGGCACACACACACCACGGCCAGCCTTCCGTGGCCTGTACCAGGCATGGCTAATCAATCCCAGGACCAGGGTTCCCACCGACTAAGAGTCGGCTGCTCCCACGGTGGTGTGGCTGGCGAGGGAGAGGGCTGCATCAGTAAACCACACAGACTTCTCAAACAGGACCCCTCAGGCCAGCAACCACAGAAAAGACTATTCTAAGAATACTGCCCACGAGACTGAAAATGGCTACCTGCTTCTAAATGCCAGGAGTAGGGAAGGAGTGCTTACAGCCTCCCCAGCTTGCACGGAAGTAAGATCTTCTGGGATTTGGGGCCATCCATCAGCCTTGAAAACTATCCCATCTTTTCTGTGCATGTCTGGGCTGCTGTAGCCTGGTCTCTGTGCGCTGGGCTAACGAGCCCTGAAGGTTAATGACCACCGGTGGGAGGGGTTCTGGCGGGGGCTTACGGTGGATCCGTGAGACACTGACCTCGCACCTGCCTCTCGAAGTCATTCCGCATCTTGGTGATCTCCTCGGTGTGCTTCTGCAAGGGAGAAAAGCTGGCCGTCACCAGACACACACAGAAGCCTCTCCCTGGGGCTGGCCTGGCCCCTCAGGCATATGGAAAATCCAGCCCAGAAAACCCGGAGCTGTTCTGCTGGGTGCTGGCTTCCCCTGGTGTCCAAGCTCATGCACGTGCTCAGAGTGATGTGGTTGTGGTAACTTCCATGTTTCGTCATTCAACTCCCTCAGCTAAAGTCACCTCTGGCTCAACACAAAGTAAACAGATGTTCCAAACACTATAACCATGTTTGGCCTTCGGCTTGGTCTGCCCCCAGGCTACGGACCACTGGCCACACCTACACAGAGCTGCAGGCTCTTTCCGATGCCTGCTGACCTGTCTCAGCTGGGGCTTAGTGGAACACTGAAAAGTATGTTGACAGTTACATGTAAACATTTTGAATAAAAAACTGACATTACTGTTCAGAGTCAGGGTTTTGCACAAAGGGGAACTAACCATGTAACTATTCCAAATCCAGGCCTCAGGTAAGCAGGCAGCCTCACATGACTAAATTCACTAGAAACCAGCCCAGGCTGTACTTCTATCAGCAAAGACCAGACAATTCTCGTGACCAAGACTTCAGCCTCCAGCTTCGCTGCAAAGCCTGCACTGTTACTGAGTTTTTTCCTGGTTCAGAGGAGGCTGGCTTGCCTCCAGGCATGAGGCAAATGTGTTGACAAAGTCTTCTCAGACTGCAGCCAGGAAGGAGCCTTAGAAAAATCAAAGTTGAACCACCTTCCCTCTGCCCAAGTCCTCCAAACGTCCACCAACTCAGCCTGGGTCAAAGCCCCCTAACTGTGGCTCCTGACGCCGACCAGCTCTGACGGATCTCCATGGCCTCCTCGCCCCTCGCTCCTCTGGGCCTTCACACTGGCCCATCCCTGCTCCTTCTTCAGACCTGGTCTCCCTAAGCCTGGCTCAGCAACCCCTCCTTCCAGCCTTTGCCCAAATGTCAGCTTCTCCATGAGCCATTCCCAGAACTCCTGGTGGAAAAATGCCACTCCCGCCCCAATCTCCAGCACATTCCTCCCTGCTTTGTTCTTCCCACAGCACTCCTGCCTGTGGATATGTAGACACGTCAACCCTCCATTCTGTCTTCTGGCTCCTTCCTGAACCATCAGACGTCCGTGGGCAGTCCTTCTATCATTCCTGTTCCCCATATGTTCCCAGAAATCAGACCAGGGCCTGCACCTTACAGATACTCAGCAAATGAATTTCAGCCTCCACCTGGAAGCCCCCAGCCTCCCCAAGAAAGGACCAAAAGTCAGCCAGGTGCTCATGAGCCCAGCTTGCATGAGACACTTCCCACCACCCGGGGGCTCGCACGCTGGACACTTTAATGGTTGTGTGTGTTTCTAAATGTCCGAGAGACCCCTGGGAGAGCAGCAGGTGTCAGGGGTCAGCAGCACGTGGCGAAAGACACTGAGTAGGACTTCCCTCAGTTTGTGGTTCAGTCTAAGACACAAGACTGTACCTGGTTCCCAAACGGGATGTGTCTGGCTGCATGCTTTTTGTTATTTTTATTTTTATTTCAAGTAATCACCAAAATGCAGGGAACTGCTAAGGAAAATATGAATTCCCAGTTCTGCTGAATGATCAGGAGGTCGTGGTCCCCAGCGGCCTGTCAGGCCCTGGTGCCCTCACACCTACCAGCCGCAGGTTCTTCACCACCACCTCGTTGGCCAGCTCCTGCTCCTTGAGCTCCACCTTCAGCGCCCGCATGTCCTTGCGCAGTGCTCCCTCCTGTGTGCGGTGCTCCTTCTGCGCCAGCTTCATGACCACAGTGCCCTCAGCCTTCATCTCCGTCAGGTTATTCTGATGCTCATACAGCAGGTGTTTCACCTTCTGCTTGTATACCTGCAGACAGCGGGAGCAGGTGATTGCCTGCACACGTGATTGCCCGCACACCCGCACACACACACCCCTGCACGTGCGGGCTCCCTGCACAC